CGGCTTACACTTTGCCTACCGATACGAGACCGCCACTCGAGAACCTTTTTTCCCCATCGGTTGTCGGTTCTTCGAGCTATATGGCTGGCTTATCAGCTATGTCGGTTACTCTGGTTCTACTGCAGATATCCTGATTTCTAAGTTTATCACGAAGAGAAACCCCAAACATAGTCCTATCCATAGCTTGCTGAGCGATCTTGAGCTTGCTCATACGACCAGCAGTGAAAGACCACGTCTCAGATCCAGAAGTCCTCACTAGCAACACGCACTGGTTGTATTGCACATATGTTTTCGGTTGGTTGATTGGTCTAGTTGTACATTGTACATATTGTGTATATATATTTTAAGAATGGTCTCATATATATCATTATGTGAGAGGTACATTTTCTATTTTAGTTTTTTTTTTTCTTCATTGTTGATGTTATTATGTTGGTACAGTTTCACGCAAAATACAGTTTCAACAATAACAATCCTATTAATAACTAAATGTTTAATCTGTGTTTATGCCCAAATTTGGTCATTTTTGAACGCCATACAATTGCGTTCGAGCTGGCGCGTCACCCGATGGCATGTCGGTGAAAAAAACGCCGCCAGGTGGGGCGGCCATGTGCGGCTTGCAGTGGCTCGACGCGTGGGCGAAGAAAGAGTAGTTCGCTGGCCGCGATGCGGGGAGCCCGCTTATCTCGATTATCGCGGCCGAAGTTCACGCGACCGTGTAGGGTCCAGATAGTTAGATGTAGTGAGTGTTACTTCGCTACGTGGATATGTGAATTTTACAATATTTAACTTGTTCGGGTGATGCGGAATTGTGCACGCGCTCGTCGAGTAGATATACGGTCTAGGATTCGAACCGCGCATCCCTTGGTCAAGAGCGTCTCCCGGTTGATTGTCTGGAAATCATTATAATTGTGCCGTCGCGTTAAGTGCCCCTTTTTGTGTGTTGGTTGGTTTGTTAGTTTACGTGTCAACGAGGCGTATTTTGAATTATTTTCGCGACGTGGTGTTTTGGTGTCGAATGAAGGAACTTAGTTGTGTTTAACGCTGATCCGTATGACTCATTAAGAGATCGCGTTAGTTCCCTATTTATAATTTTGTTATAAGTGAATCTGGGAGATTGAATGTTGAATTTTGAACTACTGTCCTTACTGTGTCGGGTATCACGTGTTCGATTCTACGATGAATGTGGAATTAGGCAAGCTTAAGTTATTTAAATGTACAATGAAGCTAATAGACTGAAATAGTGACAATGAAGAACGAAATGGTCCAGCGGTGGAGCCTGCTGGAGCGATGCAGCATTGTGGGGCAGCCTGGAACTCGGCCGCTGCTGGTCGCCTAAGCTGGTCCAGGTCTCAGACATTTACACATCACTTAACACTACTTGCCATGCACCTCACACCCACTTATGGCCTGACCGAGCCTTAGGGCGATCTAAGAGTCGGAAACAGGTAAGCACCATATTTCCCTAGCCTTCTCCCATATAGCTTAGTATTATAGGAAATTCTTCCATATAGCCTTTGGGCCCGACCCGTGTCTGCCCGTCGAGCAGGCTGCTATGGGCCCCAGTCTGGGCTATCTTTGCAGGGGTAGCTGTAGGCCGTAACAATCTGTATCTTGTTATATATAATATACCTGTTTTAATACTCATTTATTATATAAGTACATATATATGTTTTTTCATAGGGTTCACGTATACTGTTTGTTCTTGCCGAATTTAAAATTAATTATCTTTGTTTTCTCATTTTAGCCTGTTTTTTCGTTCCTGAAATTGTTTTTTGTTTTGATTTCGTTTCTCTGTTCTTGTGCCTTGCGTGTGTGTCAAAATAAATATTTATTTCTTTCTTTCTTCTTTCTATATAAATGTGAAGAAAAAGTTGATGAAGGAAGTTTTGAAGCAACTCTCTAGATGACAAACCCAGGTTGTAATATTCCTTAGACCACCCAAAAATAAAACGTTACTCAATTTTAAAATTCTGTTAAGTGTCGTGCTGTCTCTATCACTTGAAGTCAATGGTTATTCATGTTCAATTCAATGATAAGCAAATAGACTCTACAGTTAAATTAATGCCAGTTATTCCGATATTACACACATAAACTTCAACTTTATTTATACTAGATATAGATATACATTTAAATTTCGCCCAAACTGAATCAAAAAATCCAATAACATTGATTTTATCCCTTAAAAATCCTATTATAAACACACAGGAGGCAAAGCGGATTCCGTCCCCGAATCTTGCAGCTCAGTCCATATGCCCAACTGCAAACTGTAGCAATAAACGAAGCGGGATTATGTGACTGTAATCCGACGGCCATTACTATGAGCCGCACATGGGGTCTGGTCGAAAAGAAATTCCGGAAAATACATAAAATTCTAAGAGTATTTACGTTAATTGATTGTTGTAGTACGTAGTCTCTGCTTACCACTCTGACTGACAGACGTGGGATTTTATGTATGTGTGTGTAAAAGACGTGTGGTTTTTTTTTTCTTATTACCCCATACTAGGCATGAACCTTTTCCTTATAGAAAGAATTTGCTGTACTCTACATTACACGTTATAAAGCCACACTATGTATTGTGGTTGTAGCACGATGGATCGGCTCGACCGGGAAGGGACCGCGCTCTCAGAGTATACCAGCGTAATACAGCAGCTCAATGCTGCTGTATCGTATAACGCTTTTATTACTGGAAATGAAGTATTCCACCTAAGTTCTCAGTGGTGACAAGGTATCTGCATTCTGATTCTTCATTGAAGATAGACAAAGAGACACGTCATCCACTCACCATCAAGGCAACTGTGTGCACTTGTCAACTTTATTCTAAAAACTTGTCAAATTTGGCGGATTGTTTATTTTAGTATCAGACGTATCTATTTGTCGCTGCTGCTTTCGCCTGACTTTTAACTGTCTTGGTACTTAACTATTTTACGCCTGGCTTAATAGAGATAGCTTTTTTCTCCATATATCGGCCTTCATGATATTTTCAATGTTTTTTTCCCATAGTTGGCCCTTACGATACCCAAGGAATTATAATGGTGTGATTAATTATCTTTCAATACCACCACACTGATTTTTCGTCTACCCCATATCATACCGTGGGTGTCAGAAGGAGTGACAAAGGAAAACCGAAACAGGATATGGGAGGCCGTATCTTCCTGATAACAAATCAAAATTTCAATAATTTAAAAAAACTGCGATTGCTAACCCGCCTGATAATTATGGCAAAATCCCTTTTATGACGCAATATTTGGGGAAGATCCGTGGTAGCTCAGATGGTTAGCGCTCGCTGTCAATTTCACAGTACGCGAGCAACCCGGTGTCGATCCCCGCCGGCACCAATGAAATTGTTAATTGCAATTTTAAGTGCTGATTTACTACGTACTCGGCGCTGAAGTAAAACATCGTGAGGAAACCTGCATGTCTGAGAATTAAGAAAAAAATATTTCAAAGACATGTGAAGTTCGCCAACACATATTGGGGCAGCACGACGGATACTTCTTTGTCCTAAAACCCTCTCAGAAATTAGATGAGGCCTATGACCAGCAGTGGTACATATATAGGCTGCAACATTAACTTTTTAAACTTTAACATTGGGGAAAACCTATGTTCAGCAACGGACTTTTTAAGCTGAATGTATGAATGGATTGATTTTGCCTACAATCAAATCAATCAAAATACAATAAATGTATGGGAGTTGTTCATGAGCGGCGGTGGTCATTATCAAGTGAGCCGCATGATCGTTTGCCATCTAGAGTTGCCTATAATAATAAGCATATTGAATAACTATTTTCATAGGGTTGTTCTTTCGAGTAAACGACTGAAGAATTTTCGATAGGCTGCCATGACGAAACGAATAAAGTATGATGGTGCTCAACTCAGAAGGGAATGAGGTTATTTCACTAAAAGGGTAAAATTTCGAATGCTGACAACATAACGATGTGTAGCACCATGTGGTTAGCGTCATTTGTCGACAGTAACCGCCAACATTCGCTCCCTACATTAGGTTAATATATATATCATTAGGACGCTTAATATTATGATAAATACATTACTACTATTACTCTATTTATGATTTACTCTGTATTAGCCGACTTCAAAAAGAAGTTTGTGTAAGTTTCAATTGTTTTTTACGTGTTACGCGATATCTTGAACCGATTTTGCTGATAGTTTTTTTTTTTAATTAAAGTAACTTATTCTTCGGGGTTTTTTTATTTAAAATTGTTTGTAGGTAGACTGTAAGTTTGTTTGTCACTTAAGTTTAAAAAGTCTCTCCCTCTCTATCTCTTTCTCTCTGTGTTGTTAATAGTAAAAAAAATTAAATAAATAATCCCTTATTCGCTCTTTTAACAGTATTAACTCTGTTTGGATGTGTGTGTATGTCTCTGTTACGTTATGTGGTTACCATCATCTATTCAGAGATCATCCACTGTCACATGAAGGCCTCGTCCACCTCGTGGCATTTGTCTCTATCTTTTGCAGTACGTATCCATATGTTTTTGGATATTATTTTTATACCTCTACATAGAAACTTGTTAATAGTAACCACTACTATTAATAAGTCTGACTACCAAGTCAGAAGGAGGAATAGGGAGTTAACTGGTCATGTGAATATATTAAGAAATTCTGCGTAAGTATAAATTATTATATAAGTATATCTAAATGTCGCTGCGCTTAAAATTGACAATTACCGAATACCATTACAAGATCACACAAAATAATATCCATCGTCTGCAATATCGTTTCTAACTTAAGAACAATTAATGCTCGCTTCAATTACGAAAGTGCTACTTGAAATCTTTTGAATATTATAAAATTATTCAATTGTAGATTTTCACAGAACTCATTTTGTAAATGTCCTCGAATATACCTTTTTAATTGAAATAGGTTCTAGAAAGCAGTAACAAATTCAACCTGTCGGCAACTGTTAGGGTTGGCATAAATAAAATTAATTTGCAGTGAGACTGAGCAATTAATATCAGTACTGATTCAATTACTTATTCCATTCAATGTTTAAGAACCGATCTATTTATTACTTTTGACGTTATATAAAACTTGTTTTTAAAAGGAAAAAATTTAATTATTTTCTTTGTTAAAGTATATTCTTACACTCCCCAGATGTCTGTACATGGGATTGAGGTGAAATTATTTGTTACGCATATCAACACACATTGTCATTATCATTAAAAAATTGGTACAGAAGTAGACTCCAGGACGTGTCGGTCGAGTTCACTCCCGTCAATTCACTCTCATTGCCTCTGCGTATGAATTATTTAAACTTTGTATTCACCGGAATACACCGTAATCCTTGGTACTATGTGTTTGGTCACTACCTTGGTGCTCTCATTGTGGTGCGCGAAGCACGCTTTGCCGAAAGACAGCAGTCTCACTGTGTTGCTGTGAAGTGTATTGGACTCTTGTTATGGTGTCAAGTACATTTTGTGCGTAACTCTCCTTCTTGGCATCCTGGTATCAGCAACCGTAAGTGGAGTAAAACACACCCGCCATGGCCATCATTTTTAATTTTTGTGTTGCTTGTTGCATTAGGCATCAGCTAGGTACACACCTTAGCGTACCAACGCGCTAGGTGTATAGGTGTTCGGTTTAGGCGCTCACCTCCCCAGCCAAGCTCAAGTATACCAACTTGGTATACATCTGTGTTTAGCGTAGTAACAAGGTAGACTTTATCAGTCGTGCCTCCTCGACATAGCTCTCGAGCTCTCGGGCTTCTTGTAAAGCACAATGTAAGCCCCGCGCCCGCGCCCAAACCCGCGCCTCTAGCCGGCACCTCTATCCAGCATGTCTAGCACCCTGCTGATCGTCCGATTGTGCGGATTGACGCCAAGCTCCGGACCCTCGGCCCCCCGTGTCCATTAACATACTCTACGACGCCGCGTCCCCCGCGTCTTCCGCGTTGTCCACCCGCGGCCTGTCTTCTCAGAATCAAGTTCCGACATGGTGACCGACACGCGTGTTCTGCTTAAGCCCGAAAACTAAGGTTTCACCCTCGTTTAGGGCAAAGAGCGCAAACGCAAAGCCCCTAATAGACAGCGGAGCCTAACTTTGCCCCCTCGACCCCCACCCCCACTCTGGCTAAAAATCCAGCACCTGTGGAGTGCACTCAACCCCCTAAGCCTGCGGCTAAGCCCGCAGCGAAAGGGTTACCTGGAACGTAGGAGAAAGCCACCGCCGCCCGTCAAGACAAAACCAAGTGGAAAAGATCAGTTTCCACCCGTACGCCTTCCCCGAGGAACGTAGTCTACGCGTGGTCATCAGCGGGCTTCCAAAGGAGCTCGAGATCGTCCACATCTTAGAAAATCTCATGGCCCACAATCTCCCGGTTCAAGAGAGGTGCACAGGATGCATCAACATATCGATAAAAACTGTTTCTTAGATCTGAGCCTTGTCATTCTGGACCTGTTTCCAGAAGGCAAGGAATTTTTTTAACATTTGGCATATCTGCAACCTAACGGGGATTGCAGTTGAAGCCCCCAAAATAGGGACCACTCGGCCAGAAACTGCTTGGCCAACAGGCCACCAGGCCTTGATGCATCAAGTGCCTAGATGACCACGGTACCACTGACTGCTCCCGCACGCCCGAGACGGTTGAACCTCCAAGCTGCGTAAATTGCCGCGAAGAGGGACAGCCAGTGAACTATCGCGGGTGTTTCAAAGCGCCGCGAAGGAAGCAGCGTGGAGGTAGAAGCTGTCGCGGACGGGCGGACCAAGCCAGTGTGTTTCGCTCTTGGTTGCCTGCCCCCAAACCCGCACCATCCTCGGTGCATCAAATCGCTACAAAGCCCGCCCCTGTCGCCAGGCCTTCGTGCAAGGTGCTAGCCCTCCCGCGCCTTCCGCGCTGTAACCCAATGCTTGGGTGAAACTGCCAGCACTTGTCGCCTCCGGGCCTGTGCCGCCTCCCCAGGCCAAAAGCCCATCCCACAAGGCTCGTCTTCTTTCGCCGCTAACTTCTCTCAAGTTGGTTTTAACAGCCACATTAACGTTGCTAAATTATCCACCTCGGCAACTCAACGCCGTGATTGAGTACATAGGCCTAATCGACATAATCTGGTCTTTTCAGTACGTCTATCTACCTTAATTAAACATCAAAATGGCAGTACAATCGTTAGGTAGATCTAAAAGACGCTCTCTAACTGTCGCGTTCTTTAACGCGAGAGGCCTTAGAGACTATAAAGACGGGATCACACTCTTCTTACGCAACCACGATCTAGACGTAATATTAGTGCAAAATACTTTTTTGAAAGCTAACCATCGCGATCCTAAGATCGCAAACTACGTCTTAGTTAGAAATGTCAGGCTGACCAACCTTAGAAGCGGTACCTTGATCTACTACAAAATGTTCTTGCACTGCGTACCGATCGACGCTTCTCCGTTAAGTAACATAGAAGTTTCTATATGCAAAGTAGCCCTCTCTGACCATTCGCCACTTACCAAAGTTTTGGCGTATTAACCACCACTCAAACGTATAATTGAATCAGATATAGCAGAATTACTTAATCTAGGCTCCAGTGTCATTACAGCTGGAGACCTCCACAGTAAGTATTCCTTTTGGAACTCGCTTACAAACAATCCAAATGGCAATGCATTGTTCGATTTCACGTAGTGACTAAACTTCGATGTTATCGCGCCTGAGACTCTGTGAGAAAGATGTCCGTTTGTCGATAGCATGGATCACAACTATATTAGAACTCAATCCGGACCACAGACCAGTCCTATTGCAGTTGGGCCAGCACACAGGTAAGGTCCTTCAGACCAAAACCATCATGGACTAGCGTAAGCTAGAGGTCAAACACCAGTCTACGACCTCCCAGTACTTAGACAAAATCCCATACAAAATACACAAGCCAGAGGAGGCCAACGACGTGATTAGCGCCCTATCAGCTCACCTCACCTCTACAGTTGTAGAATGCTCTCGTAAGGTTCGGGTGTCGAGTAATCGACACTGAAAGCTTCCGAATTTTATTCGACAGCTAAGCAGAGCAATCAGCAGAAATACCGTACAACAAATATCGTAGACGACATATAAATATACGGGGTGACACGGCGCCTTAAAGAATTTAGATATGATAAGTGCTAATCTGCTGGAAGATATCGTGCCATCTCAAACTGCCTTTTGGCAGTTGACCCGATCTCAGAAAGTAGAACAATCCTCACCTATGCCGCTCTCATAAGACCAGGGAACCCCGATCTCACCTTTAACGACTCTGGCCCAATCCATCGCGGGCAGTTTAGAGAGCCAATGTACTCCCTCTATCAAACCTACAAATCCCGCTCACCTTGCAGAGGTCGAAGCGGAGGTCGAGCGTAAGTCTTCACTATCACCTGTGGCTCATCCCGTAGATCCCGTGACTGTCGACGAAGTCACAGAAGTAATTAAAAGCTTCAATATGAAATCAGCACCCAGCTTCGATAGCATTAGCAACAAGGTAGTGTAATCTCTATTTGCACTGCTCGTTTGCCTCCTAGTAGGCATATTCAACGCTCTTCTTTTCAGCTGCTCCTTCCCGGATGCATGAAAAGAGACAGACGTAATAGGAATCCCGAAACTGGAGAAACCGCGCAACTGAGCCTCTAGCTACAGATTAATCAGTCTCCTTAGCACACTGGGGATAGTTTTCGAGCAACTCATATTGAATCACCTCCGTAAATACGTCTTCACAAACAAACTTCTTCCGGGCGAGCTGTTCGACTTCAGACCCGAACACTCGTGCACCGACCAGTTATATCACCTCACAGAATACATTCTGAAAGAATTCAACCTCCCAAAAAGTAATCGCAGAACCACCATAACCCTCTCCTTCGATGTCACAAAAACGTTTGACAAAGTCTTGCACAACGGCTTGCTTTAAACTTGTAAACTTGTAAACAAGCTGCATGAACTCAACGTGCCTGGTAGGCTCACCCACATCATCAGAGCCTTTCTTGCCAATCACCACCTTGACTCGGGTACTCGCTCTACAAAGCGTTCCCTCAAGGCTGGAGTCCCACAATGCTCCGTCCTCTCCCCACAACTTTTCACGAGTGTCATCCCGAAAGACCCAGTAATGAACACTGCTCTTTTCGCCGATGACATGGCACCTTCCATCGTCCATCACAATAAAAGAATCCTCACCGAGTAGCTCTAAATAGCCGTCAACCGTTTACGCGATTGGTTCCGCTTATGGAGAATTGAAGTGAATCCTGAGGAAAGTGTTGCAATACACTTTCAAAGGATCTCCACTTTCAATCTTCAAAACAAAAACCCCAAGAAATCGTTAGGTACAATCAACCGGTACGGCCGCCAGATCCCCTGGCAAGCAACGGCTAAAAACCTAGGGGTTATATTCGACGAAGAAATGATATTCGCAAAACACATTCGCAATTTCCGCAACCGTGCAAAATATGTCACTAGTCGCCTCCACCCGCTAGTTACCAACAAGATCAAACTGTCCTTAAGACACAAGTCCCATATTTACAAAGAGTGCGTAAGACCTATCATGTCTTATTTAATTTTTCAGTCATTTGTACAATCTCCAAGTCGTCCAAAATAGATTCATTCGCATAGCCACTGGAGCTCGGCTCGAAACTCCGTCTTTCACAGACACTGTCAACTTCCAACGATCTCTAAATATTTCAAGGATATGTCTCAACAGCAACACAACACAACGACAGCAACGGTTAGAACGTCTGAAAATAAACAATTTTGCCCTTCTTATAGTTAGCGCTGACACCCATTAGGCTGTAAGAGCCGTATAGGCATACAACACTTACATCAACAGAAATCAGATCATTCAAAAGTTGGAATTTAATTACAAGTTTTTCAGTTTCAGTTTCTAGTGTACGTACATTCATAAAACAATGCCTCAGTGTTGTATTCTTTAATTTTTTACTTTTTAAATTCTTTTTAATTTGTGGAATATCCATAGTTTGATTAATCCATTTCTAATCTTAATCTTCTTCTATACCTTTACAGCCCTTCACAAGTCCACTGCTGAACATAAATCTCACGCAAGGAATTCCACAAAACACGGTCCTGAGCTACCTACATCCATCGACT